GCATTCCAGCATGGAACACAAAGAAGAATTTTCACTAGACCGGAACCGGAAGTTATGCCTGACGTCTATGTCCGTTTCAGCGTGACACGCACGCGGCGCACCTACATCACAGGTGGATTCCATTCCTCTATCTCGGTGGGATATTTAAACGAAGGCTTTGGATTAGTGAGATCACATCCCTGAGGAAGTCCAGAGGACGAAATGCGTTGGATTCTAATGTTGGGGTCTTGCAGTGCTGTACCTTTTTCTCCACTCTGTAGTGGATATATGCTGTTTTATCTGAACCTTTTGTAAGTGCATTTGTAATAAATCTTTGCTGTTTTAAGTCTCATCTGCACTATCATCTGGTTTCATTTACAAGTGCAAAAGAAGATTATCTCCATATCATTCTGAAGATTACTCCTGATTAGGATGATGGGCCTGATATTCACTTACATTTTGTGAGTTTAACTTATATATCCTGCGTGTCTCTGTATATAAACATTTATCACACTATGTGCGATTTATATATTTCTCTGTAGACACTGCCTACCACGCTGTTATATCAGAAGGTTGTATACATTTTTTATTCACACCATAGAAGTTGCCACTTCATCCTTTTGCATTCCTACTTACCTGGAGGTTTTTCATCAGAACAACTACAGCTTATTGAATTTGTTCTGGTGAGTAGAATCATTACCTTCAGGCTTTTTGCTGTAAACGCTGTCTTTTCAGAGAAAATGCAGTGTTTAAATTACAGCCTAGTGATAACTTCACTGGCCACTCCTCAGATAGCTGTTAGAGATCCTTCCTGGGTCATGGCTGCCTAAAATGCATCCAAACATTCAGTGTCTCCTCCCTCTGCATGCGGACACTGAACTTTCCTCATAGAGATTCATTGATTCAATGTATCTCTGTGAGGAGATGCTGATTGGCCAGGGCTGTGTTTGAATCATGCTGGCTCTGACCCTGATCTGCCTCCTTATCAGTCTCAGCCAATCCTATGGGCAAGCACTGTGATTGGATCAGGCCACCACTTCTGATGATGTCAACAGACTGCTTATTTTCTTTGAGGCATACAGAGTTACAGCTTCAGGCTTGAATACAGTAAGATGTTGCTATATTTATGGAGGCATGAGGGGCCCAGGGGAGCTAGATGGTGGTTTTAACACTATAGGGTCAGGAATACATGTTTGTGATCCTTTAACAATTATCAATAATATATCTGAAGAAATCTGTGAAAAATAACATAAAAATATATAGTGCAGAGCATTAGATGAACCAAATATATAAAATAATTGATATAAACATGTATGGGGAGTTCCACTCACATTTACCAGAGCCCTATTAACACTGGCTCTGGGTCAGAGAAGTTCCAATTGAGAAGGAATGAATCTCACAGCCTGATATCCAAATTATGGCAAAATGTTCTTCTTGTGCATTTGCTATATAGGAGACAAAACTAGGAACCCCAATGATACAGTATCACAAAAACATTTATAAATATACAAATTAAAAACTGCTTACTTCAAAAAATGGCAGGTATACCAAACAGTAATCCCCACAAACATGTGTTGTGGAGATAAATGTTGACTTTTATCAAGATACGTCCAGGTTTTGTTCAGAGCCAATCCTTGGCTCTGCCTCCCAATGACATTCCTTGTTATACATTTTGAACGCTTCTCTCGGGCTTCGTCAGACAGTGTCGCTGTCCCACCTTCTGGCTTTTATTGCCATAACTCCACCCCTACTATCTACTGATTCGATGATGGAGCAGCCAAAGAATGTTAGAGCAGTATGTTTCTCATTAAAATTATACAGCTTATACCTCCTGCAAAATGTACATATAGCCCCTTAAGTGGACATTTATGAATGCATATACATAAGTCCCAGTTTAGCCAATATTTATTTTAAGGGACACTATAGTCACAAGAACAACTACAGCTGATTGAATTAGTTCTGGTGAGTATCATTTCAAAAATACATTTATATAAAAACAAATATATGTTCATGGTTATTTTAATTAAGTAATTTTCTTAATAAAAGTATTTTTGGTTACAAGATTGTGCCAATCATCTTTTGAATTCTACATTTTTATATTTGAAATATTTTGCCTGTCCTACTTTTACCTGCGTTTTCCTTCATGTGACTCCAAGTATATCCTGAAGTGGGGATCATACCACCAACGTTGATACCCTAGGGCAGTTTGCCTGCATTCCACTTGTGAGTTCAATTTTACTTGTGTTTATTGCATTTTTATTTTACTGAGAGCACTATTAGTTGTCTTTTATTTTTTTCCTCTCCTGAGTGTTGGACATCACCCCTCTGGAGGACTCCTATCACACATCCTTTAAGCGGGGATTATACCGCTGAACGCTTCCCACACCTGAGCTGGATATAGCTCTTTTAAATGTGAGTTGAACCTACCTATCCATTTTTTTTAATCTTCACTTGTCAGTACATATTGCACCATTGGCTTTTTCCATTCTTGTTTTACATACAGAAGCTGAACAACACTACACCCAAAATCCGGCACTCCATAAATCCGGCACTCCATAAATCCGGCACTCCATAAAGACATTTACCTCTGTGTGAGACTTTGTTTTTGGCTTTTATTTCACTAATTATATTATCTTAGGACTATTGTATATACTAAAATTACTACTTTTATTATTAATACCTACCTCTTGGCACAGCCCTTCTTCTGTTTTTTGTGTCAAAAACAAATATATAT